GAGAGGACGCGGCTCCGGGAGACGAGGTGAGTCCCTTCACCCCTACCCCCAGCCCCGTGAGAGGCGCCCACCGCTCCGCGCCAGCTGCTCCTGGTTCGCCGCCTTTCCCCCTCAGGCCCCCCTGGACCGGCCTGGCGTTCGCGGGGCGTCCCTTTTTCCTTTGGGGGAAGGAAGCGGGGAGGCCGAGCACACCGGGTGGGCAGCCGCTGGGCCAGGCCCGAAGGGAGAACTTGGCCGTTCGCCTCAGGCGGAGGAGCCAGCCCTTCCCTCTTCTTCCCTCAGGCGGGCGGCTGTCGCGCCCTTCTGAGGCGGCGGAGAAGGAGAGCGGCTTTCTCTAAACCTTCCTTCAGGAGCTCTTTGCGGAGCGCCTTTTTCAGTTTCGCTTACCGAAGTTATTCGAAGTCTCTGGTTTTGTTTTTGTTTGCTTGTTTTAATCCGCTTGGCCAGGCGCCCGGAACGGGCTTCTTACACCGAAATTAAAAAACCAGGCAGCCTCTTTTGTCTGCTTGGGGTCGATACAGCTCGTCGACCCCCCTTTCCGAAGGCGTTTCAAAAAAACGTGTCTGGATGGGTTTCCTTGATGCGGGCTCTTTATCGTGTTTTTTTACCCCTTCAACCTGTCCTGCCCTAGATGTAGTATTTACTGGCAATGGGGTGGGATTTCCCCGCCCTCCTTACCTGCGTGTTCTTCCAACGTGTGAAAAGGGAAATTCTGAGCCGCTCGCTGCGCTCATCTCCAGATTGAACAGAGGAATGGGACAGTTCGTCTGAAGTGAGGATGATGATAAGAAGAAGGGATAGGGAAGTTAGTGGATGTGGAAGGACTACGCTGTTGCATGTGGTGAGGAAGGTCTGAGCTAATTTTTCTCACTTTTCTCCAACCCTTTTTTTCCATCTCTGTGATTCTGAGTGAGCAAGGTAATCCGCCCTTTGAAGCTCCTATCCATAAATTAATTAGTTTCAGTATTTCTCTACCCTTGCAGCTCTACTGTCTGGCTCTTGTTGGCAGTTCCTCTCTCCTTCTAACTCATTCTGAGATGCTGATTAATTAGTATGACTTATATGTGTTTGTGAACAGTGGCTGTGTTGCAGTCGCAAGGCATCTCTCTATATGAGTTGCATAGTCACATGGAATAGGAGTCTGCAGGATGAAGTGCATTCTTAGAAAGGTATATGCATTTATTCTGTTCATTCATGAACAGAAATGAATCTCAAGAAGGATTTCTGTTTTCTTTTAAAAGTTAAGGCATGGTGGAACACTCATTCGTCCCTGTGGACTATCATCTGCAGTCCAAAGTGGTGTAGCTGGGATGTGCTTTACCACCAATAAGAAATGAACTGTTATTACTTTACCATCTGCATGTAGTTACAGTATACTTGGTCATAGCTGTCCCTTTTTTGTCATCTGCTTCTGCCCTTTGCTGTCTTTCCTGTGTCTTTCTCTGTGCCTAGATTTAAACTATAAGCGCCTCAAAGCAGGGGGTGGTCTATTTTTGTTTTGTTACACTGCTTTGTAAAGAGCAGCATTTACTCCATGATAGATTATTGATCTATAATCAATATAGATCCGTGGAGGCAAAAATGAGGCTTTGGGCACATAATGTGAACGCAGGATTATGTGGAAATGACAATAATGCTGCGAAAGGTGGAAGACAGCAAGAAAAGCGGAAGAGTGAGATGGATTGACTCCGTAAAGGAAGCCATAGACGTGACATTACAAGAGCTGAGGAGGGCAGTTGAGAATGCGATATTTTGGGGGCCACTTATTCATACGGTTGCTGTAAGTCAGAGGGAACTTGACAGCACATAACAAGATTATTTATAAGAGGACTAATGCATGGACAATGATAATAATAAATGTGATAATATTTGTTCTCAGCACTCTGAATCTCTGAGGTGAACTCATGAGAAGGAAGAACTTCAGATTTATTCTAGCTCCTTTCATTGCTGGAAAGCAAGTTGTGAAGTATCTCAAGATTGTCTTTGCTGGATGTGTCTGGACTTAAATTTATGTGTGCTTCTCTGGGGATACTGAATGGATGTGATAAAGAGATTTCAAGTGGATTGGGTTGGTGTAGCCTTACTTAACTAAGGTATTGTGTTACTGTGTTTCATGTGTCCTGTTTGTTTTTCTTAAAAATCTGAATAGCATGCTGAGAAATACTTGTAGGGCAGAGGTGGGAGGTTTTTCAGGAATGTGTGTCCATTAGCTCATTGTGTATTGTTTGCCATCGACAGTGGGAAAAGATAATAATTGGCAAGTACAGTTTTGTCAAGGTTCTTTCTGGATTTCTGGGTGGTGGGGAAACAGATTTATATTTTAATTTCTTCCATACGCTTCTCTCACATTCCAGATATCTTCTGCTGTGTACAAAATATCAGGTATTTTAATTCAAATAGAATTAATACTTCACAAGCAAACTTTATTAGAATGTAATCTTTTAAAAATAAAATAAATGTAATATTGTCCATCCTTTCATGGAGTTAGGTATGCATAATCTGCCATGTGCTTGAGCTTTTAGTAGCAATTGGTGTCAGTATTCTGTTTTGTGATCTTAGATCTGGTATGCAGATCATACAGTATTAGGTGGAAATTTAAATTGTCTGCTAATGTTGTTTGACCAAGTCAATGAAGTAAGTGGTTTCAAAATGAATGTTAAGAAAACCAAGTTCATAGTAATTGATAAAAAGTAAGCAGCTGGAGAAACACACATATCTAAAATTAAAGTGCATTGACAAATACAGTATAAGAATCTTTGAATTTGTTTGAATGAGCAGTGGCATTATAGCCATGCAGCATTTATTTATTTATTTAATTTGTACCCTGCCTATCTAGTCAATATGACCACTCAGTAACAGTCACATGGCCTAGAGTGGCATCTTCAAGATGAGGATAATAATAAGCAATAGAAACTTTAAATTGGCTTTGACAATCACATTATATGGTACTCACTATTCTCAATTCTACATGTTGCATGGAATTGTGGACTTGAAACAAGCTACAATTCTATGTGATATAGTAGCGCTGAGAATAAAAAGTACTGTACCATATAAGATGATTGTTGTAGTGTTTCTGGTTTGGCCAAAGAAGAAATGCTAAAACAAATGAATGAAAACCAAGAAATCATAACATGTGGAAAGCTGGTCACATAATGAGAAGCAAATAGTATGTTTTACAGCTGATCATACAGGGTAAAATATATGTGTGAAGAAGAACTTGCTGAAAAAGCTTACCAAATGGTTTGGGTGCAACACAGCATCATTATTTGGTGTTGTGGAATCAGAATATGTTTATTTATTTATTTATTTAAAATATTTTACCCCACCTTTCCCTTAAAAAAGGACCCAAGGCAATTTACATCCCTGAAAGACAACAAAACAATGAGTATTCAAAGGTGGTGTACATTATTAAAAAGCAATATTTAAAGTTAAAACCACTAAATATAGAAATAATAAAACAGAACAAATACAACTCTGAGAAAAGGAAAACACAAGCAATACTAAAAAGACAGTCAGAGCAGTTATGCATAACAGTCCATCTAAAAAGATCATGCTCATGCAGCCAGTCACTGAGCAAAAGCTTGCCTGAAGAGAAGACAGCAAAGATGGGATCAGTCTGGCTTCCTGTGGGAGCGGGTTGCAAAGTCTGAGAGCAGGGACAGAGAACCCCCTTCCTTGTGTCCAATGTTTAGTAAGTGAGGCATGGGTCACTTTAAATGTTGTACTAGTTTCTCTGTCAGAGGCACTGTGCAGACTTCCTATAATACACATATTTTAAAAATTGAATATATATACCATTTATTAACCTGTGTTAGTAGAGGGAGATTTCCATGCCTTATAAGGGCAGCTGAAAAGATATTTCAAATTATTAGGACTAGACAGCAGTATCAATTTTTAAGAATTACCCAAGAATAGTATTTAATGGTTGAAATCCTGTTGCTTAAGTCCACATCCTCAGTGGGGATTAAATCTCATCAGTAACAAATCATCACTGATTAAAGGCAGATCACTGCTGATTAAAGAAAGTGTTTGAGGTGTATGCAACTTGTACATAATGCAGAAAAGTTCTGTGTGCCGAATGAAGCTTTTAATCAGGGGCAATTTGCTGCTGCTAGTGATATCATCACCATTGCACTCAAGAGGATTTCAGCCAATATTTTGAAGGCATAAGTGCCAGCATAACGTTTCTGGAAACTCTGAAGATCTGCTTGTAGGTATGCAAACCTAAACTACAGGAGCTAGTTAAAAAAAGTACCAGAATAATTTTAAATATATCTCCTAACATCTAAAAGTCTTTCAGTACCACGCTGTACAAGTTTAAGTAGTGAAGTTTTGATATCTGTTTTTTTCTTAAATGTAAGCAAATACACCGAAACAATGAAACCTGATACTGTACATGAAAGAAAATTGATTGGCACTGTCTACTAAAATAGAAAATCTATTTCTTTGGACTTGTTACTGTATCACACCTAACTTCATACTTTTAGGTGTGAGAGTTCTGATACAAGGATGCAAGGAAAGCAACTTGTGGTCTGAAGTGAATGAAAAGTAGATATTTTTCCACTACAGTACTATATTTTCCTGTGAAGAATTTTTGATTTTAAACATTATTTCATGACATTAATTAGTAACAAAATAAACATATAACATTGAGTGATTCTAAGATTGTAGTTAATTTTTTCACGTGACTATGGCTAGCATGCATATATAAACAGATTTTGCATAAATGCACATGAACATGCACTTTAATAAATGCACATGAACATGCACTTTAATAAGATTTATCTGTACACTAAGAGGGATGTCACTGTAAGTTAGGTGCACTACATTAGTTCTCGGTTGATTTACAGCATTGATACGTAAGTCTGGAAAATCTGTTTCATTATACCGGAAAGTTCCTAGCTAAAACATAGTATGCCTACTTATACATCATGAATTGTTGTTATGTGCTGTCAAATAACTTCTGACTTAACAGTGACCCTGTAAATTAGTTACCTCCTGCTCAGTTCTTGCAACCTCAAGGTCATGGTTTCCTTTACAGTATTGAGTCAATTCATCATATATTTTGTTCTTTCTCTTTTCCTGCTGCCTTCCTTTCCCCCCTGCGTTATTGTCTTTTTTCCAGAAAGTCTTGTCTTTTCATAATGTGCAAAAGGACAACAGGCTCAATTTTGTCATTTTTACTTCTATGGAAAGTTCAGGCTTGATTTGACCGGCTTAACTGTTTTTCTGGAAGTTTTTCAAATGAATGAAAATAAATTTTCTATCAGCTTTATTTGCTGTCCATCTTTCACATCTGTACCTTGAAATTGGGAATACCATAGGGTAGATACTTGTCAGATGTTTGCTGTATTGTACAGCATTATAGTAGGTAATTTGACCAAGGAATTTTATTCACAGAGAGTCTGCAGTTGGTTCACAATAATTAGTCTGGTGGTCTGCATTTCTCTCATGGGCCAGAGCCTTTGACCACTTGATAGCTATATTGGACGTACCTTGTTCCTTCTTACAACATGTAAATAGATAAATACTAGTACTCAGTACAGTGGTGCCCCGCTTGACAATTACCCTGCTCCACGACGAATCTTCTTTAAGATGAGGTTTTTGCAATCGCAAAATGATGTTTAAATGGGGGAAATTCACTTAATGACAATTGGTTCCCTGCTTCTGGAACCGGTTTTTCGCTAAACAATGATTTTAAAACAGCTGATTGGCGGCTCTCAAAATGGCTCCCCGCTGTGTTTAGGATGGATTCCTCGCTTAACAGGCACCGGAAAATGGCCACCCTATGGAGGATCTTCGCTGCATGATGAGGTATTTCACCCATTGGAATGCATTGAAGCAGTTTTCAATGCATTTCAATGGGTTTTTTACTTTCGCTTGACAATGATTTCATTCTACAGCGATTTTGCTGGAACAGATTATCGTTGTCAAGCGAGGCACCACTATATAGGCATAAGGCTTGCTGCTTGTTTTGCGAAGGCTAGTATGAAACTTAAAAGCTACCTCTGTAAAACCTGCCATTTGGTGAGAAATTTCGGGGGAAGGATTGTGGTTTTTTAAATGATTTAATATACGGTGGTGCCTCGCTTAATGATTACCTCGTTAAACGACGAATCTGCTCTACGATGAGGTTTTAGTAATCGCAATAGCGATGTTTAGATAGGGAAATTTTGCTTGACGATCGGTTTCCTGCTTCGGGAACTGATTTTTCCCTACACGGTGATTCTAAAACAGCTAATTGGCTGCTCTAAAATGGCCGCCCGCTGTGCAAAATAGCTTTCCGCTGTGCTTTAGGATGGATTCCTTGCTTTAGAGGCACCAAAAATGGCTGCCCTTATGGAGGATCTTCACTGGACGCTGAGGTATTTAGCCCATTGGAACGCATTGAACCGGTTTTCAATGCATTTCAATGGGCTTTTTCATTTTGCTTGACAGCAATTTCAGCGGAACGAATTATCTTTGTCAAGCGAGGCACCATTTTACTACCAAACATACAACTAAACCATCAACACAAAAAAGAAACACCCTCCTACTAAGCTAAACCATCTCCCCTTTGGAGTCAGAGACTCCAGCTATGGGACATAGCAGAATGGGACACACTATCGGAAGGGTTGTTTTTTTAATGAGAGAGTTCTTGTAGTAGTTTTATAGTGTTTACTTTATTTACAGATAATCAAACAGAAATAAACTACTGTAGGCCTGTATTGTATCCTTGGAGAACAATGTTCTCTCTTCAGAATTGCAGTCCTGCTTTTATCACCAAACAACAGCTACACACCTAAATTTCTTTTCTCTGTTTGATCTCTGACTCCTCTATCTGGAGGACTTCACCTTTATTATCTATTACAGTATCTGACATTGAAAACACTTAAAAGTTTTCTTCTTTCATAAGACAATCATACCCTGTTTTTAGTTCCGGTTGATGAAACATTACCTGACCCTCCTGGACTGTTAATTAGTAATCAGCCAAACAAAGGAAGGAAGGCTCTTCTCTTCAAGTGCCTGACAAAGTGGGATACAACACACAAAAGCTTACACTATAATAAAAATTTTACCTTTAAGAAATGTATCTTTATTGTCATATAGGCACCTTTTTATGTTACCATATGGGACTGTATTTAGTATTGGATTTCCACTTGCACAAGAGCAAAATCATAACACCCCCCCACCTAGCCCAACCCCAAGCTGCAAAACCCCTGTACAGTAAATATAGTGTACTCACCCAGAACAGGCAGTCTCTCTGTTTTAAAAAAGAAAGTCAAAAATCCCCCAAAAATTTTTAAAGCAAAATAAATACAGTCTGTACCGTGTAGTACCAGGTAGTAGACAGTCTGAAGTCTCTCTCCGTATCCACACCCTCTAACCGCTGGGGCGAGTGAGATAGCAGACAAGCAGCCTCTTCGCTGGCTAACGGTTAACTGAAAGTTCAAATTTCCTGCCTTCCCCGGGTTTTATTTTTCATTCATAAGTCAAAGCTCCGAAGTCAGCGCAAAATTTTGCAAATGGAGCTATCCATAACTCAAAATGTTTGTAGGTTGGGATGTTTGTATGTCAAGGCACCACTGTATTAGTATGTTGCGTTCCGGTTTGATATTTCCTTCAAATGGGAGCAGTATTACCTGACCCTAGTATGTTGCTTTCTGAGCAGCCAAAGTTATAAACCAATCCTGATTTCAGATTTATGCTTTCAAGTATATTAGAGAAAAGACAAACTAGGAGAAAAACAATAGCCTTGTTCAGATTTAATATTTAGCTTTTTTAGTTCTTGTAATTGTTATTTCGTCCTCCCCAGAAAAGTATATGTCTTAGTAGAAATGCAGTAGATTTCTGTGTAGAAATGCTACTTAATGCCTCTTCTAACTTAGCATAATCAGGAACAAAGTGCACAGTGGGGATGACTTGCCGTAACATGGATGAAGAAGATGCTTGTGCTGTAGTTGTTCCCTCTGAAGCAGAAGTGAATGTGCCTGGAGTTAGCACCTGGGATTGTGTCTCTGAAACCAGTTGGTTATTGCCGCTAATAGGACATGTAAATAGTTTGGCCCAGAGAAGGCCGAGAGAGCAGTTTTTAGAGAGCTTGCAAAAAAAGTATTCCAACAATATTAGTTTTAGTTTCGCATTATAATTACTTTCTACTGTTATGAGTTGCTCTGGGACTATAAAAGAAGCAAGACACCTCTTTTATGAACTTTACTGGCCATAATACTAATTGTAGGATAGATACAGTGTAATCCTAACAGGTACTACAATGTTAGATTTTGTTGTATTCCATATATTATCAAAATTGAGTTTTCCTGGCTGCCACAAAAGGAGTCCTTATATTTTGAAGCTGCTGTAATAGTATAAACAGGGGAAACCAATGTCCCATAAACCTTTCCCCTTTTCTTAAAAGTTGTTATAATTTAAAGAGCTTCCTTGATGAAACAGGACATAAATCAAATAAATGAATATTTCTTTGGAAATATTTGGGCAGTTTAGTGATTCTACAATTTTTAATTGACCTCAGTCAGTAACTAAGTCAAAAAGTATGCCTGCCTTCACCCCTTTTTTCAATTTGACTACTGTGCAGTTGAGATACTCTAGGTTTCTTTTTCCTAAATACAGTAGTGGCTATACCTATCTGTTTCAGCAAAAAAAAAAACAAAAGATTCTTATGGGACATGAAATAGTACCAAATGCACTCTCACATTAGATTCTGTGGAGTTGATCTACAAAAGGTTGTACCACATTAAAAATTAGTCTTTAATGTCCAGGAGTCTTTAATTTCTACTTCTGGTTTGTCTTCACTTCATAGTGGAAAGGGTGTTGCAGAGCTTACCAAGAAGTCTGGAAGAAGAAAAGGTGGTGTGTAGCTCAATGGTTTGCTCATGTGGTACCACAGCATTTCACTTCTCTCTGGAGCAGAATGATTCAACTACTTCCTGTCTTCCTTTCAATCTTGGTGGTGGGGATCACATAATTGCTGGAATGATCACACTTTTAGCTACCTACAAGATGCTCACCAGACAATTCCTCCATATACATGTTGAAATTTTTTTCTATCACGTGCTTTTGTTTCACTTGGTTACTTTTTCCTATTAAAGGCAAGATCATTTAAAATTAATCACATTTTCCTTGATAGTTTCTGGCTGAGTTTAACAGTAAAAGTGTTTTCAGCTTCATTAGCCGAAGCTATGGAGTTAAGCACCAGGTGGCCTTCCTTTTGCTTTGTATTGTTGTAGTGTTCACATGCTCCCCAACTTTTTCTTCAGTCAAGTGGTGCTTTTTAGCAATCACTATAGATGCATTTATCATACATGTTTTACAGTGTTGTGATTTTTCTTTAAAAATGTGAACTGTGAAAATACTCCTTTTCTCTTCTGTAATTTTTTTTTGTTTTTCATTACAACATGTTTTTATCTTTCCTTAATGAACTTAAATGTCAAAGGAAACCACAACAACTGCCTATTAGAAGGCAGCTACATAGAAAAAAAGTGATAGATTCAGCATAGTAAAGAAATTACATAAATATTTTTCTTTTTGCAGTGACTTGCATCAAGATGTTTTCACAATGGAGTTGGTCAGTGCAAGCTATGTGTACTCTCCTGAGCATTTTCTCCTTTGGCGGTAAGTCTATGGAAATAATACTAAGTTGTAACATAATGTTAAAGAGCTCTGAGTTTGTAAAAATTATGTAACTACTGCATAATATTATGGATTCTTATTAGAATTAGGCTTGTAGTTTTTAGCAGTTAAGTCTCTGTCTTGCATGGATTGGGCTCATTCAGTTTTTTATTCCTGTGGTTTCATAATTTTGGCTGAGTTTTTGGATGTAATAATTCGAAGCAATTCGTTTGATCCTTTTTTAATTAGAAAAAGTCAGATATAAAATTATTGATGCAGGCCAATGCTACATGAATTAGTAATTTGAAATCAGGGATTTCTAATTGATTTAAACCAGCCGTACAATACAGCAGTTTAACCACTGCCACCAGCCTCATAGCACAGTGGTTAAACTGCTGTACTGCAGCCAAACCTGTGCTCATAACCTGGGGTTCATTAACTTGTAAACCACCCAGAGAGTGCTTTAAGCAGGATGTTTTGTCTGTTGGTAAAATGAGTACGGGGGGGGGCAATGTGTAGCTTGCATAATTAACTTGTAAACCACCCAGAGAGTGCTTTAAGCAGGATGCTTTGCTTTTTGCATTTTATATAATTTAACATCAGGTTTTAAAATTAGCTATGCTTCTCCAATTTAAAAAAAAGTATTGCAAGAGTTTTACTGGGTTTTTATGCAGTACATTGTATATTGGGATGACAGGTGACATGGTGATCTAAGACTTTGCCTCCAGAATTATTGCTTGGTGTAAGAGAGAAGTAGATCTGAAGTAAGGAATATAATTCTGCATTTATTCCTTGAAAGGAGTTTTGTTTCTAATTTGGAAAACAGTTCTTTGCTAGGTAAGATTGTGTCATTATTCCTCATCTGACTCAAGATGAAATCCCAAGTATTTAGTCAGGCTGCTGTGGTTGTTCGCTTGTTAACCTGCAAAAATGTGTCTAATAAAGGGCATTACAAATCATCAAGCCAAATTTAAGTAATTGCATCCTATTTCTTAATCCTAGAAACTGATTGATTTTCTTACCATGGGTTGAATAGTATGTAATATTTAAGGCACAGTTGTAACTTTCATGAAGGAGACCAAAATATATGTGTATTACTTTAAAATGTTGGCTGTTTGTTTTCTTTGGTTGTACTAATCCTTGTATACAATTGGTGTTGGGTAGACCTAAGGAAATATAAATTACTGTATACTAAAAATTTTGGCTTAGCCAAGGTTCTGCTAAACAATTTTTCTGATCATTGTGGAAATATTGAAGTATAAGAGACTACAAGTATTGTTGTTTAGTTGTTAAGTCGTGTCCAACTCCTTGTGACCCCCATGAACCAGTGCACAGCAGGCCCTCCTGTTTTCCACTGCCTCCCGGAGTTTGGTCAAATTTGTGTTGGTAGCTTTGATGACACTGTCCAACCATCATATACTGTACAAAGAAGGCAAATAGCAGCTACTTTGTTATATGTAATACACTGGCATCCAAGCTTTCAGCAAAGTGACTGCATCAGATGCCCTTATATAGTGTTCTGGATCTGGGTCCTAAGAAAAATGAATGGAAGGAAATTTTCTTATTTGTTCTTCCCTGCTGCAGCCACCTGTACTTTCTGGAAAGCCTCATTGAAGGATTGTGCAGCTGTCCTGAGCAGTGTAGTATGTTGTTGCTTTATGTGGGAGAATTTGCCAAGATCTGGGATTGTATTATTGAATGATAGAGAATTAGAGGTATTAAATATAATATGTCAAACAAAATCAAAACAAAACAAAAAGGACAAAAACATTATGAATGAATGAATGAATGAATGAATGAATGAATGAATGAATGAATGAATGAATGAATGAATGAATGAATGAATGAATGAATACTTTATTACGGTCAAAGGCCAGTAAAACCAAATCAATATAAAATACATACATACATGTAATTGTAGTTTCGTAAAATCAGGCAGAATTATAGAATTTCCATGAAAACATGATAAAACAACCCCTACTTTGCAGTTAATAACATTGTAAATCCTTAGTATAAGTAAAACCTTAGCCTGTGTTATATTAAAAGCATTATATTATCCCTCTAAAATCATCTATCCAAACATCTGAACATGAATAACCATTGCTGCAGCACAAAATTTGGCCACTTGTCTCGTAATATAAAGTGTATTGTCAGAGCGTAGCAACTGGAAATAATCCTCCTCTGATCTCCCCCCTCGCAGGGAGCAAGGACCTGCCCTC